CAATAGTTTCTCTATAAGTTTTGAAGATGGACTCACATATGACTCAAGATGCTTGAAGAGTCTTCAAACAGAGGTTCAGTGTTTTGAAATGAGACATCAGCAGCACTGAAAAGGCCTATTATTTTCTTGTGACTTTTCTGTCATTTCATTCATGCATTTACTGAGCTTAAAACAGCCTCTACTTTGTGAATTTTTCTTCTCTCTTCCTTTTTTTTTTTTTTTTAAGTGAGCCATCAGAAAAAAATACCTAGGAATAAATTACTTGCTGTCTTGTAGCATTTTTAGTGTTTCAAGAAGCACATTTTATTATTAGCCATGAAAAAAAAGCCCTCTCTAACATGAAAGATTCACTTTAAAAATAAGCTGCATTCCACATACCATTTTTAAATGAAGGAACAATTTTACTACAAGTTTACCACAAGTTCAGTGCTGATGTATCTCCTGGGAATTAATTTCATAAGAACTAGTGTAATTGCAAGTAATAGACTAGTGACTCGAGCAAAAAGCTTGCTAACGGAATAATTCTGCAAGGTGCATGGTGGAATTTTCCATTCTATGCAGGTAATTTTCTAGAGTAGATAAAGCATGCTGTGATCATAGAGGTAGTTGGCTTGGCTCTATATCCACCACTTCAAGAACGTTAATAAGCTTGGGATCAGCTCTGTCCTGTAAACAGCAGAGCTAACCTGGATTTTATCTTTATTCCAACCTCTCTTCCTCCAAACCCTTAACAGCGGAGAACAGTGACAAGACAAAACTGATGAACTTTAGTCAAACACATCCCTAATATAACTTTTGACTACACAAAGAAAGACCACCCCCTCGCCCTGACCCAGTAATCTCTATTAACATCAGTACTTTGCCTACTAATCCAAAGAATTAAAACATTATTATTCTATAAGATACATGTAAACACAAACTTTAACAATCATAGGAACAGTGTAACTGGTTAAATTATTTAGAAAATCCACATAGGCACAGAGTAAACATCCGTGAATAATATTTAAATAATGTCAGCTACTCGCAGCCACAATTTTTCCATTATGCTCAGGTAGATTTTTACAATTTTTACAAGTAATTTAAAAGGTACAGGCAGGAATTAAAATTTCCCAGTAGGAACTCAAAATCCAGAGACTGTTGTCCTCTGGGGTTTGTAATGCAAAATACAGTGCATCCTATACAGTGCATTCCAAAATGCAGCCCAAGCATTAAGATGACCCAAAGGCAAGAATCAATCCTTGTAGTGATGAACTTTCTTAAAGAAGCACGGAAATCTACTCCATCCCTTCAATTTCAGGACTATTTTATTTCAAAGATCTCCGAAAGAGTCAAGAAAGACAGGGCATGCAAAACCCGTGCTCTTACTGCTATGCAACAAAAGCATAATGAGCTGCTCAGTCAGGGCCTGATAGAAGCTCACCAAAGCCAATACTGTCTGTCTGTCGATTTCAATGGCTTTCATATCAGGCCCTTATAGAGACTCTTAAAAATGACTGATTTAGTGATTTGGGCGCAATATCACCAGGCCCACCCAGTTTCACTGATTGATACCTGTTGGTGATTTGGCAACATGGCAAAGCAGAAAATACAAAGTTTAGAAATAGTACTTTGACATCAAAATCACTTGCCTGGTGTCATAAAATTAGCACTATCAAGCACTGGCTGCTAGTTCAAGCCAGTCAAATGCTCTGCAAATGAAAGATGAAGCATTGCATGAAGCCATGCTAAAATGGATAGAAGGATGGTTACTTACCAACGGGGCGAGCTGTTGACATTACAATGGTGTAGTGAGAACATAAAAAAGAAATTAAAAAAAGAAAAGAATATCTGTCAGAATGCATGACGTGTAATGTTAGGTTAAACTATGGATAGTACCATGATTGCTAAACCCTCAAATGACAGCCTAAGTAAAATGCTCACTGTTATTATTATTATTACTATTATGTCATGTGTCACAATTCTTACATTTATTTGGGCATAGTATCTGAACAAGTTGGCTGGAACTATTCTCTGAGAAACATTTTTATTAACCTCGCGTGGCGTCATCAAGTATCGTTGTTAATGCCTGATAGAAGAAAAATTGCTTTGCATTAGCACAGACTTCCAGATCCTGATGAAAACATCAATTTAAGCCACAGACTGGCAAATGTCATGCCAGTAGATGCAAGGCATTTGCTTTCTGAGTTAAACACCAACTGAATTTTAAGCATGGCTAGTCAGTACAGCAGTAAGGGCTACAAAAAGCCCAAGACAGTTTTTCTCATTCAATAACAGGCATGAAAGCGTACAGCACATTGCTTTTCTCTCGCTGACAGGGCTGATGAAAATACAACAAACAGGCTGAAATGGCCGCAGGGATTTCAACTCAGAACCTCCCAAATTACTGTTTAGATAACTTCTACTTCCTAAAAAAATTGCTCCTGAATGATCGACAAGTTAATTCTGTTTCAGACTGATATCAAGATTGAAAGCTGTTGCTGCAACAAGTGATTTCTTGATTATAGCAACAGCCCTTCATTATACCTGAGTTGGAAAACGGGGCTGTCAGTCCCTCTGTTAATAAAATACAGATACCCCTTTAGGAAGAGCTGAGAGGCTGGACATAAAATTCACTTCAGATTGAATCGGGTAGGTGAAAACATTCCTTTTTTTTTACTGAGAGAAAGAGTTTGAAGTAACGCTGCCCCCTCTTTTTTTTTTTTTTTTTAAGGAAGTTAACCAGCTTTATATGCTTATGTGCAGACTAGAGCCAACATCAAGACACAAACTTTCCTAGGTAACATAGCACACAAGGACCTACTGAGTCCTCACCCTCGCTTTTCCAACGCACCTCCCATTTCTGCCTTTCACATGCATCGTGTATCCTGGGATTCTGGGGCTTCCAGAGTTATGATATATTCCTTCTCCCACAGAGAGAGGGAGGAGGAATAGGAGCCATATGCGCCTTCCCAAGAAAGAGCATGAAGGCCGAGTCACAGAGCGCAGGTTTGGCTAGTCGTGGCAGCGCAACGCGAGCTCCTGCCTGCATCCGAGGAGATGGAGCCGCAGGGTGGGAGCGGAGGGTTTGCGCGTGCTGCCCGGCTGTGCAGAGGTAACTGCAGGGCTCCTGCACGGAGCCAGGCCCCCTCCGAGCGGGTGCTGAACTGCCGCGCTTGCTCTCGCTCCTCTGCACAGTCTCAGGTGAAACTTGAGGAGGACTGAGCATTCAGAGCCAAGGCTTTCTGTGATTAAAAGGGCCATTGCTCCTGGCCCTTTTAAGTCAACGGGAGTTTGCCCAGCCTTTTGTTAAAAGAAAATAAGGCTTCTCATTGAGTTCCTTGGCTTTTCTCATTCTCTGTCATATCCTAAACATTTAATATGCTTGTAATATTGTGGCTTCCTTTGTGTTGAATAAACACTACATATTTAACTGTAAATGACAAGCCCAGGGGGAAAAATACCCAAGATAATGAAAACCTGCTTTTACTGCAGGAAAATAGATTACATTATTTATTTCCTTGTTTTTCCTTTTCTCCTTAATTTGGTCAGGCTCAAGCTTCAGTGATTTGAAGGGATTTTTTTTGTTTGCTTTTAGTCACTGTTCATATCACAAGGCTAGGGCAGCAAAAAATAAAAGTCTTGTTCCAGTAAGGTATACAGCAGACATAATTATAGGAATTTTTAAAGGCTACCGAATTGGTGGCCAGACTTGTTGGGCACTACAGTTCTGCCTGTGACAAAGAACAGAGTGACAGTATTTCTGGGAGTTCACCACAGGGACTATTTTTCTCATTTTATAAAATGGAAGTGCAAAATCTCAGGCAAACGTGCAGCAGGTAAACTTAATCCTTCAGCTTACAACAGGTAAAACTGCATTATCGTGTATTATCTAAAGTGAACACTAGGTAATATTTTAGTACACAGATTATTACAATACTCTTTGTTCTTTGTTATAGACAACCATCTCTTCCCTACAAAGACATTGGTGGTTTTTCTCGCCCCCTTTGAATTCAGCAGATTAAACTGAACTGTGTCCATGCATTAAATGGATGGAAATGGAAGCTGGCCTCTTGGGTCAGTTGACCCCAGTTCTAATAAAGCAATCCATTGAGACTTTGAACATTTGATTTAATGTGTATGAAAAGAGGAGCACAGATAAAGCTAAAAATGTTTTTATTAACCTTTCACAGATCTACTGAAAACCGTCAGCATGCACCACTAAGCTGTGAAATAGTGTCTGCATGATATCCATTGTGCCAAATTGCTGCTTATCTTTTGAAATGAAGTAATAACTATTATGTTCTATTTACTCATAGAGAACCATTAGCTCACAAACTTTTTCTCTCCCCATAATCTTTAACATATCTATATCTACTGTCACAAAAGACATCTTGGCAACTCATAATTCTATTGGTCTTAAAACCTCCGCTGCACATCAAACAGCACTGTATAAACACCAAGTGGATACTAGAGACCAATATGTTTTAGGAGAAGAAATGTTAGTCTTTGCCTTGCAATAACCACAAAATTTAATTAATATTTTCTCTTTTTTGGCTTGGGTTTATCTTTCAGATAAAAAGTAATGGCAGAGAATTTAATTATGGCAGAGCTAATTGCCTAATAATAGTTTCTGCATTACATTTGGTATAAATAAACAAAGTTACTCACTAAGCTCCTTGTATTTTTTTTTTTTTAGAACATGGAACACAATTGAACTGATGCCTCACATCTTAAATTGTGGGCCCATGGTTATGTATTGTTTGCTTCTGCCTACATATGTATCTGCTCTTCAGCAAAAAATATTGGAACAGATCTTTAACTGCAGGAAGATCCCATCCCACTCAAGTAAACGGAAATTTTATCTTCTATAGGATGAGGGTTTCACCTCTGCTGCAAGTCAGTGCAGCACCCACAACTGCAAAGGATGTGTGCAACCCCACCAACAGCAGGGAAGGACATGGCTTATTTTGTTAGATGATCCGTATGGGAGACACAAGCCCTCCCTGCATGGGAATGCTCACCTCGGACAGTGAGGGTAGCAGAGGCTTCCACTTTCCCAACTCGATTCTCGGCAATGCACGTGTAGGTTCCTTCATCTGTGCTCATGGCCTTCTTAATGCGCAAAGTATAGTCATCTTTGATGTCATACCTGCGACACAGAGAAGAACAGAAACTCATTCAGTGGCCAACAGAAATGAACAAAACCCGTCACCTGGCATATACCAGTCTGTACCGATCTTGGATCCAAGTCAGAAAGATAAATTACCAGCTAGGATTAGACAATTCCACCAAGTATTAATCTTCATGACATTTTTATTGCACTCTGCATTAGTTAGAAACTTTACATAAAATTAGTATTGCCATGTTCACTCAGTATTAGAGCTTTATTAATATCACTCTCTTTGCCCTTGATCTAGAGAAATATGGTAAAATTAAGCTATCACATATCAGTTAGCAACACATGACAGCTCAGGTTTATCATGCCTTTAACTAAGCAAGCTACATACTTCACCTTTAGCTGATTTGGAAATTTTTCTTTAAAAATACTTTTTGCTATAGCAGCAACCCCTTAGGAAAACTGCAAGCATGTTGGTAGGATTGGATACTACTCTATTACAAACAACAAAGAAAACTTTTAAGCTCTGGAAGATAATATTTATTGAAAAAGCACATTAAAGGGAGATTTATCAATTTAATGTAAATACTACACTGTGATTCATTAGAGTGGACAATAACTTTTTTCTTCCATTGAAAGCAATTGGAAAAAAAACAATTTTGGTTTGTCTTGTTTCTTTGCTTCTGCTACTGTGATAACGTTAAAATTATGGGGATGTGTAAAATTCAAAATAATGCAAAGTACTTCAGTATGCAGTGAACATTCATTCACAAGGCATTTAGAGTGCTTACATCTAGAAGAATATTCTCAGTTAAACTGTTATCATTCTGCAAAAGTTAAGCTTAACAAAATATTTTAGGCTCTGATCCAAAGCTGATTAAATTCAACAAGAGATTTTATCTTTTATGAAATTTCTCTGGCCCCTGAATCAGAAAAGACCAGTTTGCAGCATGAACATTTTATTCTCAAAACACTCTCTTGAAAGATTATTTTCAACATTTCATCTATACATAAAATGCCCGACACCTGAATTAATTCATTATGAATCTACGTTTAGCTTCAGATTCTCAGGTGCCAAATAGAGAAAGTGGTGCACAGCACTAGAGTAACACATAGACCCAAGGATACTTGAACACTCTGACTGTATAAACTCTCACCACATAACTCCAAACAAGTAATCTACCTTTTCTCCATTACACACACAGTAAAGACCTTGTAGGCTTGTTCAGTAATCATATTGCAAGGATATACGACGGCACGCTTACAGGTAGGTACGTAAGAATATAACACAGTCAGTTACATGAATTCAGCCTTACAATGTGAGCAGTGTTAAAACACCTTGGGGACTTCAGATGTTAATTTCTGTGTACATCATTATTATACATTGCTATCAGCTCTTTTATTTTAGCATGTATACTATGCATTTGCATATGATGCACTCTCTACAACAGACCCAAAAGCATCTTGACCAAAGGATCCCATATGTTGAAGTGTTCAAAGTTCTCTGTATTCTGTAAATCCATTTCATGTACTAGCAAAAATGAAATAAAAAAGAAGACCAAATGAAGACTAACTATTCAGGCACATATCTAAACAGGCACATAAACATAGCTAGCTCTTTCTTTAGATGCCACACTTATTTGTATGTACATGCATTGTCTAAGATTTAACTAATGAATAAGGGATATGCCAATGGGTAGAACGAGAGGATGCCATGGCATACAGAAAAAACTGTTAGCACCATTATTTTGCTAGTGTTGCTCTATTAAGGAGCAAATAAAACAGAGACCTTAATATTCAGTTTCTGGATAGTACAGAACTACTGCTTAGTAGTCAAAAAGCCATATGCAGTTGAGGCACATTTTTTTCTGGACTCCTCACTAAATTATGCAGTTCTGCATACTGTGCTGCACTAATTAATGGTAAACAGAAAACACTGCTTTCGTATGAGAGCAAATGCAATTTGACTCCCCTAAAAAGCTCACAAATATGACAACAGCATCCCGCAATGATGTGGCAGTTATTGTCCCTGGCCACCACAGAGCTGCAGACAAGAGAAAACGCTTATTTTCTTGACACAAGGCCAGCCCTAGGGGACCGAAAATGTAAGGCTGCCTTCAGCTCCTTCAGGACGGCAAAATCAGGACCAGCTGTAGCATAGACATGAGCTGCAAACAGGAATCGCGTGTATGAAGTTAGGTAACAATTAGCTATTTATTTTGCTACATGGACTTTATTATTTATTACTATTCTCACTGCTGCTTCCCTTTCGCACCTTTGCGGGTGCCCGCCGCGCGGCCCGCTCGCCAGCGCGCCGCCGAGAGCAGACGGGCAGCA